CTACTACTACTACTACTACTACTACTACTACTACTACTACTACTACTACTACTACTACTACTACTACTACTGCTACTACTACTACTACTACTACTACTACTACTACTACTACTACTACTACTACTACTACTACTACTACTACTACTACTACTACTACTACTACTACTACTACTACTACTACTACNCGTGTGTTGCTGTGGTTTCAGGGCAGAAGTTGTTCTGGAGCACCACAGTCACCATGAGTGTTCTGATCTGGCTCTTGTCTGTGGCCTGGGCCGCGGTGCCTCTGTTTGGTTGGGGCGTCTACGACTTTGAACCAATGAAAACCTGCTGCACCCTGGACTACAGCAAAGGAGACAGGTACTACTACTACTACTACTACTACTACTACTACTACTACTACTACTACTACTACTACTACTACTACAGCAAAGGAGACAGGTACTACTATTACTAACACTACTACTACTAACATTACTACTACTTCCAATACTATTGATACTGCTATTGCTGCTTCTACTACTGGCACTGATAAGTTGACAAGTTTAACAAACTCTCCATCTCACTCCAAATCACTAAATCCATTCAATTCTTCATCCTCGGTGTCACTTCTGAACAACTCCTCGACCTCCGGAGGTAAACAGAGCGACGCTTCCTCTTCTGTGTCGCTGTCGTCAGACTCAGCATCAGTTCCAGTTAGAATTATTCTGGTCTTTCTGAATCCCGACAGGATGGTTTCAGTGTCACTGAAGTCCAGACTTTGTCCATCCATCCACTCACTCCAAACTTTCTTTCTGCTGCTCGATTATCGTTTTCTGTTGAATATTTCGCGACTTGTAGAAGGACAGAGGCTCTTTCTGCAGGAGACATGCGCAGTAGAGCCAAGTGACAGTGGCACAGGAGGAACAGGAGCAGCAGATACTCACACACAAGACCAGAGCGCCCCCTGTCAGTCTGAAAATATAAATATATAAGTTGCGCCACAGGAAACACCCAAACCATGAAAAAAGTGTGACATATAGTCCGAAAAATACAGTAATTATATGAGTTCAATCTTGAAATAGTGTGTTTTGTTTTGAAGGGACTACATCACGTACATGTGGAGTCTGGTCGTCCTGTATCTGGCCTTCCCCTCCTTCACCATGCTCTCCTGCTACGACTCCATCTACAAGTACTTCAAGAAGATACACAACCAGAAGGTACCGCAGACGCACTTTACTCGGATACATGTGATATATTACATTATAGAAGTTCATTTATGTATACACCATGCTGTAATGCTGTTGTTTTATAAAGCATGCGTAGAATCTATCTTACGCTATGGCATGTCAACATGGTTTGGTGACCTGTCAGTCAAACTTAAAGCACAGATTTTTACCTTGACTAAAAGAGCAGGTAAAATAATGGGTGTGGCCCCAAGCTCACTTCAGCACATTTTTGAGGAGACTGTGAGGAAGCTCGGCAGGAAGGTGATCAATGACCCAACCCATGTTCTTCACAGTCAGTTTGAGTTGATGTCGTCAGGCAGAAGGTTCAGGTCCCAAACTGTAAACTGAACAGATTCAAACATTCTTTTGTGCCATTAGCTGTTAAACTGCTAAACTCAGATAGTGCAGTTAAAAAATAATTATAAAAGGCTTAGGGATTGTGCAATCAAAACTGCACATAGGTGTAGGGAATGTGCAATTAAAGCTACACATAGGCTTAAGGAATGTGCAATAATTAAATCTGCACATAGGCTTAGGGAATGTGCAATAATTATAACTAAATCTGCACATAGGCTTAGGGAATGTGCAATAATTATAACTAAAACTGCACATAGGCTTAGGGAATGTGCAATAATTATAACTAAATCTGCACATAGGCTTAGGGAATGTGCAATAATTATAACTAAAACTGCACATAGGCTTAGGAATTGCAATAATATAACTAAAACTGCACATAGCTTAGGGAATGTGCAATAATTATAACTAAAACTGCACATAGGCTAAGGGAATGTGCAATAATTATAACTAAAACTGCACATAGGCTTAGGGAATGTGCAATAATTAATAGAACAGAAGAATGCAAGGGTTTGCCTGTTAAGGATAATTTAAGGGTCTTGTTGGTGCATCACTCGTGGTCATACTGGTCTCATATTTACTTTGTTTTATGGTGTTTGTTTATGTGCTGCTTTGTGTTGTGTCGTCCTGTTTTTTGATAAAACATGTGACCCCCTGTCCCAAGACAAATTTCTCCCATGGGAGACAATAAAGGATTATTTTTATCTTATCTTATCTTATCTTACAGAACACCAGCAGGGGGCGCATTTACTCCTGCTTTCATCATTTCCTGGGTGCTTTAACTCTTCTCTTTTTTCTTCTTTGTCTCAGTTCAACACGTCCCTCCCTCTCCAGACGATGCTGATGTGCTGGGGGCCGTACGTGCTCATGTGTGTGATCGCCTGCTTCACCGACGTCACCGTCATCTCGCCTAAAATCAGAATGGTACGTCGCTCTCTCGCGGTCTGTGTCCAAAAGAACGTTCAGGAAAAATATCCAGAACTTTTCCCCCTTATCGTGTGCGGAGAAGGTTTATTATCTGGGCCTGTGAGGAGCAGAGACGACGATTATCACTGTTTCTGCTTCTGCTGCTGTTTCTCCTTTATAATTACAAAAAGAGTGAAATGTCTTGCCAAAAGACACAATGGAAAAACATGGCAGTGGGTCCAGTAATGATAAAGGAAAAATTCACACATTGGAGTTTTTTTTGCGTGAGTCTTAAAAAGGTATAATTTAATCCATTATTAATTCCTCTCTCTTTCTTTCTTTCTCTCTTTCTCTGTCTCTTTCTCTCTGTGTCTCTCTCTTCCTCTCTCTCTGTCTTTCTTTCTCTCTCTCTTTCTTTGTCTCTCCCTTTGTCTCTGTCTCTCTTTCTTTTTTCTTTCTTACTCTCTCTTTATCCTTCTCTCTCTCACACCTTTCGCTTTCTCTTCTTTCTCCCTTCCTTTTTCTTTCATTCTTTCTCTCCTGTTTCTCTCTCTGTCTCTGTTTCTTTCTTTCTATTTCACTTTCTCTCTCTTTCTTTCTCCTCTCTCCCTCTCTGTCTGTCTTTCTCTCTCTCTTTCACTTTCTCTCTCTTTCTTTCTCCTCTCTCCCTCTCTGTCTGTCTTTCTCTCTCTCTTTCTATTTCTCTCTTTATCCTTCTCTCTTCCTCTCTCTTTCTTTCTTTCTTTCTCTCTTTCTCTATGTCTCTTTCTCTCTGTGTCTCTCTCTTCCTCTCTCTCTGTCTTTCTTTCTCTCTCTCTTTCTCTGTCTCTCCCTTTGTCTCTGTCTTTCTCGTTCTCTCTGTCTCTCTTTCTTTCTGTCTTTCTTTCTCTCTCTTTGTATTTCTCTCTCTCTTTCTTTTTTCTTACTCTTCTCTCTTCCTACTTCTCTCTCTCTGTCTCTCTTTCTGTCTCTTTCATTCTTTGTGTCTCTCCCTTTCTAATTCTCTCTTTCTGTCGCTCTCTCTCTCTTTTCCCTCTCCCCCTTTCTCTTTTTTTCTTTCTTCCTCTTCTCTCTCTTTCTATTTCTCTCTCTTTCTGTGTCTCTCTCTTCCTTCCTCTATCTCTCTTTCCCTGTCTCTCTTTTTTCTTTCCTTCTTTCTTTCTTTTTTCTCTCTCTCTTTGTCTTCCTCTGTCTCTTTCTTTCTGTCCCCCTGTGTCTGTCTTTCTCTCTCTTGCTCTCTTTTTCTCTCCTCTCTCTCTCTCTCTCTCTCTCTCTCTCTCTCTCTCTCTCTCTCTCTATCTTTCTCTCCTCTCTCTCACTCTTTCTCTCTCTCTTACTCTCTCTTTATCCTTCTCTCTCTCACACCTTCTTTCTCTTCTTTCTCTCTTCCTTTTTCTTTCATTCTTTCTCTCCTGTTTCTCTCTCTGTTTCTTTCTATTTCACTTTCTCTCTCTTTCTTTCTCCTCTCTCCCTTTCTCTTTTTTCTTTCTTCCTCTTCTCTCTCTTTCTATTTCTCTCTCTTTCTGTGTCTCTCTCTTTCTTCCTCTTTCTCTCTTTCCCTGTTTCTCTTTTTCTGTCTTTCTTTCTTTCTTTCTCTCTCTCTTTCTATTTTACTTTCTCTCTCTGTGTCTTTCTCTTCCTCTGTCTCTTTGTTTCTGTCTCCCTGTGTTTGCCTTTCTCTCTCTTGCTCTCTTTTTCTCTCCTCTCTCTTTATCTTTCTCTCCTCTCTCTCTTTCTTTTTTCTTTCTTACTCTCTCTTTATCCTTCTCTCTCTCACCTTCTTTCGCTTTCTCTTCTTTCTCCCTTCCTTTTTTTTCATTCTTTCTCTCCTATTTCTCTCTCTGTCTCTGTTTCTTTATTTCTATTTCACTTTCTCTCTCTTTCTTTCTCCTCTCTCCCTCTCTGTCTCTCTTTCACTCTTTCTCTTTCTATTCCTCTCTTTATCCTTCTCTCTTTCTTTCCCTCTTTTTTCGTTTTTACCCAGGCTCTTCCGGTCATCGCCAAAACCAACCCGATCTTTAACGCTCTCATCTACTCTTTCCACAACGAGTATTATCGTCCTGGAGTCTGGAACTTTCTGACGGGACAGAAGATCCCCGAGGCTGTGGAGGGAAAGAAAGGAAAATGAAAAGACGAGAAGATGAGAGGATGAAGCGATGAAGCGATGAAGAGTTGTGTTGTGTGTATTATACTCTGTTAGTGTTGGACTCAAAGCAGAACTCAGACACTCGTTTTTCATGTTACACTTTAACGTCGTCAAACTCCAACTGTTTAGTGTTTTTCGTGATGGAAACGGTTTAAAATAATAATAATGATATTAACACTGATGCCTTTAATAATGTCTTACGTTTGTATTGTCCTTACTGTGACCCGTGGCCACAGCTGCCCCGGGACAGACTGACAAAAGCGCCGTCAATCCCTCCAACTACTGCTAATCTCACATTCCCGGTAGAAAAAGTAGAGTGACGTGTCTTGCTCGAAGACACGACACCAGCATGCTTTCGTCGGGCTTTTGTACGGAAGCCGAGAGGGGTCACGACGAACGCGAACGCCGCAACAAATACAAATGCGACGACACAACAAAAAGCCACAACACGCCAAAAAAAAGCCACAACGGAAATGACCGCGGGACTCTGTTTTAATGCAAACGCCGCAACAAATGCAAACGCCACAACAGAAACGCAAATGTCGCAACACATTAAAAAGCCACAACACTAATACAAAAGCCACAGCACATTAAAAAGCCACAACACACCAAAAAAAGCCACAACACACCAAAAAAAGCCACAACAGAAATGACAGCGGGACTCTATTTTAATGCAAATGCCGCAACAAATACAAACACCACCACACAAACGCAAATGCCACAACACATTAAAAAGCCACAACACATTAAAAAGCCACAACGGAAGTGACCGCGGGACTCTATTTTCTGACGGACCGATCAAGCGGCAAGTGAAGAAGAAGAACTACAACGTGAAAAGTAAAGGAACGGAGAAGTTGGAAACGTAAGTAAAAGTAATTTATTGTTTTATCATTATTCGTTTCACGTTGTAGTTCTTCTTCTTCACTTGCCGCTTGATCGGTCCGTCGGAAAATAGAGTCCCGCGGTCACTTCCGTTGTGGCTTTTTGATGTGTTGCGGCATTTGCGTTTGTGTTGTGGCGTTTGTATTTGTTGCGGCGTTTGCATTAAAACAGAGTCCCGCGGTCATTTCCGTTGTGGCTTTTTTTTGGTTTGTTGTGGCTTTTTGTTGTGTTGTCGCATTTGTATTTGTTGTGGCGTCTTGCGTTCGTTGTTGAATTTTATCAAGGGGAAAGATGTTATTGTTCTTCTTCCTACAGGATTTGGGGCCTTACATATGTCACGACTAAACAGCAGTGATTGGTTAAAAAAAAAAGTACCTGCCTACTGTCGAGCGAACGAATCCTAATGCTTAGAGGTCAGACGGTTTCCAGGAATGTTGTGCTGAATAACAAAAGTTTGCAGGGTTCCCACGGTCATGGAAATCCAGGAAATGACATGGAAATTGAAATTGTAATTTTCTAGGCCTGGAAACATCATGAAAATTTTGTAAATTCAATGAAAGTTTTGGAAAAGTCATGGAATTTTAGTATCTCTTTCACGCAACTCCAGCGTTCTGTTAAGTTCTCATGAGGCTATTACGATTATTTCTGAACACTTTTTGCGTCTTTTGTTTAAAAGAGACGACAATAAATGCACTGACAGGATTTTGAATGTTAAAAAACTATAATCCCAAACTATAAAGTGAGTAGAAAAGGTTATCATTTCATCTTTAGCCCTAAAAGTCTGATCCAATTCTACACAAAAGTCATGGAAAATTCACTTTAGGTTGTGAAAAAGTCATGGAAACGTTTTAAAATTTCGTCAGTGAAAAAAAGTGGGAACCCTGGATTTGTTTAATTACGGCCGATTGCTATTGTACTTTTATGTTTTAGAGGCGTCTAACTGTACACAAAGACTCGCCCTCTTGCTTATAATCATCTCGATTTCTTGCGGTCGCTAAAATTCGTTGCTCTCTGGCGTTTTTGTTTTGTAAAGGAAAAAGGTTGGAGACTCCTGATCCTCACACTTCGCTGCAGTTACATGAAAACTTGAAAAACGGTGCTTTTCTCCGCGGTGCGTTTGTCATGATCACAGATGTTTGTAGTTACACTGAAGGACAGAGAAGTCAAACCTCAAAGTGTTAAAATACTAGACCGAAAAGATGAAAAAGTTCCTGAGTTCTGCTTTAACGTTCGCCGTAGGCCTCACACTGGACACATGTACCACCAAGTCTGTTTAGAATCATCAAAACAAAGTGTCTTTTTCTGTACAAATAATATGAATAAACACGTTTGTATAACTGGAGATTTGGTACTGGTATTTTTATTTTTTTTTTCCCAAAGGTTTAGAGTTTGCATTTCTTTTTTGGTGTGGGCCACATTGACAAAATTACACTTTTATATTACACAAATTTGACTCTTTTGAGCTTTAAGGCCCCGTTTACTTATACACAGGTATTTTTAAAAACAGATATTTCCCTTCGTTTGTATCCATCATTTACACCAAGGGTCATAAAAGTCAATTAAAAGATTACATATGAAGTATTTATATTTATATTTAAATGATTATTTACATTTGCTGCAGTGACACGTGCAGAGTTCGGTAGTGCAGTTAAAGGTTGTATAGAGGATTTTCCAAGGAACGAGAAATCCAGCGACTTTGTCCTTTTTCAAATGTTGCGCATGCGTGAAACCACCCCCCCTCCCCTACAGCTCCTACGTAGAAACGCCTCCTCCCTCCTCTCCTCCTTACGCCAGAAACAGGTTTGTTTACAGCCGGTGAGCTGCACATGACTTGTAAACAACTAACTACAGTGTTGGTTAGGCAAGACGGAGAAGTGAGGGAGCGGGTGTGCGGACATTTCGTTCGCGGACGAGAAGTGAGGAGCGAGGAGAGGGGAGCGGTGTGCGGAGATTCCGTGCCCGGAGAAGTGAGGAGCAGGGGGAAGAGCGGATCGGGCAGCGGGGACAGGAGCAGGAAAGGGGTGCAGAGAAGGTTGCGCGGAGATTCAGTGCGAATGAACTAGCTACAACACGCAGCAGCAAGTGGACTCTTTCTTTGCCTTGAAAATTACGTTTTCAGACATAGGATATCGCTTTCGTGTCCTGAAAAATGTTTGTCTCGCTCTTGGAAATAAAGTACGTTTCCATAATAAGCAGAAGTTTCCTGTCCAGGAGTAATTTGTGGACCAGTGCGTCAGTCTTTAGACCCTGCGTCTGCTTCAGTTGCGCCATCGCTGGAATGAATCAAGAATCACCTTAGTTTTGGCTTCGCTGCTTTTCCCCTTGTCTTCTTCTTTCAGCGACCTCAAAAACGGACTTTCTTTTGCGGCGAACTGCTCCTGGATTCTTGTCGCCCATTGCAACAAACTTTGTGCAAACTGCGAGGAAGATATAGGTAAAAAAAGCCGCTAAGAACTGTTGCGTTGGTGGAGTAAACAGCGTCTGTGCGTCTTGCGTCTGTGGACTGTGTGACAGTCGTACGTAAACCACGTAACCGGCGGCGCAGGCAGGTCAGTTACGCTAGAAACGTAGGGAGTTTGATTGACAGCCTGTCAGCTCACAGATAACGAGGCAGTGTCGTTATCTATTGGCAAATGTTTAGCCCCACCACGTCCAGAGTTGATGAATTTTTATTCTCTTTTTTTTGGTCATCATAATTACAAGGCTACTGCATCTCTATAATCTATCATTGACAATTTGAAACAAAAAAAACAAAAACAAAAATCCTCCATACAACCTTTAAGGAAAGAAAAATGACTCGTGTTAAAGTACAAAAACGTGACAGAGTTTTCAAAGAACAGTGGACGTGGATGATTTTTTTGTTCAGTTTAAGGAGCGTGCAGTTTGTCTGATCTGTAAAGAAAGTGTGGCGGTTTTCGAAGAATATAATCTGCGTCGTCAGGGTCAAACTATTCTGTTATACGACCGACCCCGACCCCCATCACAGTCAGGAGTCAGAATGTGGCCCACAGAGGAAAAAAGTTTGGTGAGTCCTGATTCACACACAAACGGCAAATTTGCCTCTGAATCTTTGAAAAACTCCAGAGCTCAGGCGGAGATTCTGGAAAACTACAGTTTGGTGTTTGAGTGTAAAGTGAGATAAATGATGATGATGATGATGATGATGAAGCATCAGAGCAACAGTCACATTTCTTCTGCTGAAACACTTTTCATGTGTTTCATTTGCACACACTGATGTTTCATATTCATGACCAGAAACCAATGAGGCTCGGAGATTAGAGATTTACCACTTCTTTAACAGATCTGTGACGCACGTTTTTCCAGGTGTTTTTGAGTAAAACTTTCAACTGTAATGTGTGTTCATACCAGTTTGTCAAAGTCTGATCCCGTCAGGTCTCAGAAGCTCAGCGGGTCTGGGCCTGGTCAGGACTTGGATGGAGACACTTGGAAAATCAGGAGCCACAGGAGGCACCAGTGGCAAAAACTGTCATTGTGTCCTTAGGCAAGACACTTCACCCACATTGCCCAGTGTGAAAGTGGAGTGTGTGTGAGTGTTGGTGGTGCAGACTGACAGCCTCTCTTCCGTCAGTCAGAATGTGGAGTGAATGAATAATGCTCTGTGAAGCACTTTGGGTGTCTTGAAAGGCGCTAAACAAATGCAATGATTAATTAATACAATTAATCAAAAAATAAATGGAATCTAATCAAGGCTTCGCCCACAGGTTTGGTGCAGTTATGACGGTGCTTGATGTTGTATTTATGCAGGTCGATTTAATGAAAACTTTTTTGAAAGCGATGCATTGTGCAAGATGTTATTTTGGAAAACAGTGGAGAGAGGGAAATATTTGTTCCTCAACATACTCGACTCTGTGTAAACGTAGCCTAAGTCCTGTTATAATGTTGTTTCCTCCTCAAAAACAGACCTGGACGTGTGTTTTGTTTCATTCACATGTTTGAGTGACTCTTGTCATGAAGCTGTAGTTTTGAAGTGAGCAGCTCCTTTTACCTTCAGTTCAGGAGAGACTGGAGATTCCAGGTAGCATCAGTGACACAGATAGAACATGCATAAAGTCTATTTGAGACCTGAACCTTCAACCTCGTCGCTCAGGGGCCGTGGTTAAGCACATTAAGTGACATAACTTCTAGGGACCGTGTTAAATCTGTTTCATTATTATCACGCTCTCTCTGCAGACCTCACCTGACTCGACAGGAGATTAAAGCTGCACTGTGTCACTTTTTTTTTTTTTCTTTGCTTGTTTCTATGAATACCTCAATGTTCAGCCTGGAATGTTCCACAGTGTGACTTTAAACAGCTCTACTTTACATTTATTCAATTACAGGTGGTTTTTATAGCTCAAAAATACCCAGAGAAACTCAATTCTGACTGTGAGCGGGGTCGCCTCTCCACAGATCTGACCTGGAACTTGGACTGGTTTGGTCTGTGTGAAGGTAGAAAGGTTTAATGCCACACTGCGGAACATCTCCATCACACAATTTACCTTTAAAAATGCATATGTGAGGTTAGATTTCAGATTTTACTAAAAGGTTCATCTAGTTTTGTTTTTTTTTTTTTTTTTTACAATTATAAGTTTACAATTTTACTTACTGGTTGTTCAAGTAATTCCATCGCTGTTACCTAGCAACCATAATGTAAACAAGAGTCTAATTTTACACAGTAATTAGTGACTGGACTGATATAAACACAGGAAGACACTTTTATTTTTATACTTTTATTTATCAATTATCAATAAATTTATATTTAAATTGACAGAAAAAAAAATGCATTTGTTGTGTGTAAATTGTCTCTGCAGTTTGGACTAAACAAGAGCTAAACCAGAACTAGTCCAAGACATTTAACGACTAAACAGGGGCTAAACTTGGACTAAACTTGGACTAAACCACGTCTAAACTAGAACTAACCCAAGACAAATGAGGGACTAAAGAGGGACTAAACCAGATCTACACTAGCATTAAACCAAGATTTATGAGGGCACTAAACTTGGACTAAATCAGGTCTAAACCAGGT